GAGGTAATATTTTCGTTGGCAAAATTGAACAAAAACACACAATATTGTTTTTAAAATACAGCACAATAATGACTTATTTACTGAACTGTTGTATAAAATCACATTTGCGCACTGTGTGTGTGACCTTCGTGACAAAAACAGCATTCGTGTGATATTTCTCTCGCTGCTCATGAGATATTGCTTATCATATGATATAAATATGAGACAAAAACTCATACAGGGGCATTTTTGCACTAATATCTTGATTTTTTATTTTTATTTTAGGGCATAACTGCATTTAAAGAGTTGTTGCCCTGCATTATATTTGTGAACAGTCAACTGTAATGTAAGATGATGTACAGGTCTGGGGGCGGGGCCAGTGCGTTTTTTTTTTTTTTATTTAGTAACTTTAAGGAGGGTGTACTCATTTTTGCAACACAAAATTTTAACACCTTGATAAGAAAATCTTATTTTGCGGAATAATTTTGGCATTCTTTGGTAATTGATCAAGCAGGATTGTTGGAACATTACATCTCCAAAGAACCCTAACATGTCTTCTAAGTAAAGAGTAATTGCTGAATTTGCTAAGTTTTAGAAGGGGTGTACTCATTTATGCTGTGCACTGTATGTATATATATATATATATATATATATGTATGCATGTGTGTGTGTGTATATGTAAAACATTTTTATTTTAATTAATATTTAAGAAATTTGAAATCATTTGAAAATGAATAAAAAAAAAGTCAAATAAGCATATTAGAAGACAACTAAATCCTGTCCACGTTCAACTGTCACATGATCATGCACACTTCAGACAATCTCACAGCTGGATTTGACTAAGTCTGCAAGTTTTGGGAAATTAAATGTTCATTAGACAGTTCAAAGATTTGTTTAAATGAAATAAATGCGTATTTGCTGCTTGCTGACTCCTAAATGAGAAATTATTATAATGTTTGCCTTTATATTACTAATAATATAAAAGCATACATCATAATATTTTTTGTATAGCTTTTAATTCCTTTGTTTAACAGTTCTATCCGATTGTTAGACTTATATCCGTATTAGTCAGAACTGTTAAACGGTGACACAATCAAGAGGGAGAATGTAAGCGTTGCATGCTCATGCGCTGCCGTTCTCAGCGCCGTCAAAATAAAAGTCCCGCCTCGAACACATCAGCCAAACAGAAAAACTTATCGGCCAACGCAGATATATCGGTGGACCACTAGTAACAAGTCATTTACACATAACCATGCTTTATTATTATGTATTTAATAGTATTCAACCATCATAATTTCTATTGATTTTTTTCATGTCAATAACTTATCCCCAACCCCTCTTATAGCGCCTCTTCTTTTAAAACCATTTCAGGGAGAGCAGCCGTCTGCACAGCCAATCAGAGCAGAGGGGGTGGAGTCTCGCAACAAGAGGAGTCACCACATGTGTGACCTGTGCGATAAGGTGATCATTGGCGACTTGGAATGGATGGGTGAGTTTTTGCTCGGGTCAAACCAATGCATTTTCAAATGGCTTAAGAAGACAGACTTAAATATTTGAACTATCCTGTTCTCCAGCACACCAGAAGTCCAAAAACCATCTTTATCAGGTCCGCAAGAGGAGAAAAGTCGAGCAAGCCTCAGATCAGGACCCAAACCCTACCGAACATCAAAATGTCAGTGACAGGCAGGTACCTGTACTATAGCTCTGTTGGGGTCGAGCTCACAGATGGACCAAAGAAATGAAGTGCCCATAATGTATTTTTTAGATCAATATATGAAGGTACTTTCAGATTGATTGGTTTGCAGTGGGCAGCAGCGATACCGCAACTCTCCCTGTGGAGTAGCAGAATGCACTTCAGGGTCTGTGATGTTTGGACACCCGGATTTGATGGTTTTTCCCATCTGCCACAGACCAAGGGTTACGGCAAATGTCTGGATTTGGATTCTTGCACTGGACAGATGTCTTCCCCGCTGCTGTTTGTCTGAACGGTGCACTTTTTAACCACATCTAACCGCGTCCACTGCTCTTTTAAACCACACTGCGGAGAGCTGTGCTAACCTTTTTGGCTACTCTGACTGAACTCCAAATACATCACTGCTGATGTTGGATTACTGGATCACATTTTTCTCTGCTGATCAAGAATGGAAGGTTATTTTTTGATTATTAAATCTGATGCCAGACTTTAATGTATGTAATTGTCTGATCATATTGGGTTAGAATATAACTATGACTTCAAGCAGATGTGGACGTTCTTTCCTCAGGATTCCCAGTGCCTTTTTCTGTGATGACGTCCAACCAAAAACTTTTTTATACAACCAACAACCAATTTTATTCACTCTCATGCCATTCCAAAACCATTCATTCTTTCGTGGAACACAAAAGACATTTTGAAGAATGTCCACGCTGCTCATTTCCATAAAATGACTAAATGATATAATATGGCATTAGAAGACTTGACACATAAATCTTATTGGCTACTTTACAGGGTTTTTGTCCCATTAGAGCTTGCATGGAAAAGATCAGCATGAACATTCTTCAAAATATCTTCTTTTGTAACAGCATAAGCCTGAATCAATTTGACTTTATCCTTTACATTTTAAGACTCAACTGCATTTGCTTTTTGGTTGGGGTGTTTTTATTTCTTGACTTTTACAGAATGATCTGTCTATCACTGCATACATTATGTAAATGTAATTAAAGAGTTTTTAAATAATTTTTATAATGACTTATCCGAACAGATCTGTGTTTATTTTCTAATCAAATGAGTCAGAAAAACTTTTAGCATGAAGTCATCAGGGTTGCTTGGGCGATGAGCCACCAATACCTGCTCATACCGGCTCACAACTTCGTAATCCTTGGCTAAGAGCCACAAGCTACCTCATTTTTCTTTCTCCCTCTCTTTTGATCCCTGCTCCGCGTCGAAGTATGTGCTCCAGTGTGGAAATTCAGCAAGTTCCCTACATAACACTCATTAGCCTCCCTGTCCAGGCTAAATATACATCACGCATACAATAGCTGGAAGGGAGAGTGTTTACATAGTGCCTGAAAGTGGCTGTCCCACATTTAAACTGATGTGGGTCACTGATTTGAACTTTGCGGGACGGGTGCCGGTGATTCCGGTATAAGGGGTGATGGGCAGCCTCTCATTCTTGTGTGTGATTGTGAGTTTTATTTTAGCTCCGCGAGAGTCCAAGGCTTGGCGGGAAAGTCTTAGTGGGTCAGCTGAGCTTCCTCTTGACGGATAACAACTCATTTAGATCAGGGAGTTCTCAAGGATGAAAGTGAATGGAAAAAGAACAAAGGCAAAAAGCAGTCAGCTGGCATTTGTTGACCTAGCATGTTGTTTTTGAAGACCCTATGTTTATTTCAAGAAATGGTAGGGCTTAACACTGTTTTAGTAGTTTGGCCACTGCTTTTAAGAACATTTTGCATTATTTACTCCATCCTTTTGTTGTTTCGAACCCATTAGATTTTTTTCTGCGCAATGCAACAGGAGAAATTTTGAAGAAAGTGCTGGTCGCTCATTTCCATGCAGTGATGATAAATTAGAACTAAGGCTTTCAACCTTTTCATAAGGTTTTCATTTTTTTCAAGGATATTAAAATGCCAAAAAGAAGCATAAATGTGGTTGATTCAACGTTTGTGCTACAATCACTTTGTGTCTAAAACTATCGTGTAATTGCCTGAAGTTTAATTGCCTTTAAGGTGACTACCAAAGTCAAAATTTATCTTAAAGGTCCCCTGAAATGCTTAGAAACACGCAGCGTTACTCTGTGTTGACATCATTTTAACTGAAACAGGAAGACAGGGCGGGACATATCAAGCACCCCCGCCCCTTTTTAAAATAGCCAATAGCGTTCGTTTATATCACAGCTTGGGCTAGAGCCGTTCAGAGCCGTTGAGTTCCGTAAAGCCGCATTTGACAGGGTATGCCAGCCACAATCTCATCCATATTGTTATAAAATATAGCATTCTGTGTAGAATTCAAATAGCTCCGATACATTTTGTGGTCTGCGCCGACTCGCGCATGTGATCCGCTTCGTGCTATCGTGTCTCTGGACCGGAGCAGAGTGTGTGTGCGCACCGCGGTTAGCGTGACGCAGCGCGAAACCAGACTTCTTTTTTTCCTCAATGGAAAGCATATTTACACTGTTTGAATCGTTCCCTGTCCCCTATATAGTGCACTACGTGCCATTCACTGTACAGAAAATACTAATTCTGTGGACAAGTGACCGATTTCAGCCGCGGCTTCAGCGTCTATTTTATAGTGTAGGGGGCGGGCGCTTCGGATTCTAGAGAGCATTTGATTGGACAGAAATTTTGATGAGAAGCTGAAGTACGATGTGACGTCAAAAAAATCGTTGAGCCATTTTGGCGGAAGTGACGAACTGCAAGCTTTGAATGCTTATATCTTCTAAATGCGAATTTTGTCACTGTTTTGGAGCACACTGCCTTATAGATAACCTTAAGACTAACATATTGATACTAACACCCAAAAAACTTTAATTTTGATTTCATGGGGACTTTAAGTCATATGGGTTTAAAACAACATGAAACAGTAGATTTTGAGTGATCTGTTTTTAAAGATACAATTGTGAGTACAACTTCCCTACAATGCTTTCACCCTTTGTTGAACGCTTAGCTTGCTTTTGTTTTATTTAATATGCAGTTTGTTTGTTATGCAAGAACATTTGTTTACCTCACACTGGGATGATTAGCCAGTTTAGTACTGCAGTTAGAGTGATTCTGTTTCTTCCCCCTTCCCTCCCTTCCAACTGCTGATTCATTCCTTGAATAAAAGAAAGCCAGCTGATGTAATACTTAAATAGCACAAGTTAAGCCACGCTGAGAACTGGAGAATTGGGTCAAGTTTGTTTACTTAATTATCCAGTTATGTTCAGTCATGATTATAAAAGAACTGTGAAAGTGTGCTTAATCAAAGGCTCAATCCCAAATCACTTATTATTCATATTACTTACAATATATAATATCAGCCCCTTTTTGGATTACTGCATATATGCCTGCTTGCAAATATTATGTAAATATTTATTTTCGTGTAATTTTGGTTGTTGTGCATCTCATTTGTTATTACATTGTAGGAATATTTACAGCTACTTTGATCTCAGTATATCTGTATCTATATAGACCAATGAAAAGCCCACATCAGCCAAGTCACATCTGTTAGATGAGGGTTAGTTTGACCCAGATGATAACACATTGCATGTGGTACAATGGTGTACCAATTTGGATAGGATTTTTGGAACTTTTTTTTTTTCACAACCCCTTACAATACGCAAAATTATTGGTTTTCTGGTGCTATATTGGTACGCAATGTGCATGTCATTGTAGTATGTTTCAGTACTTCATATTTGAGGACATAATTTACCACATTAGTTTGGTTTACCCAACCCTTTTAAGATTTTTATTTTTTTTTAAGATAAGATGTTTTTTGAAAAGTCTCTTATGCTCACCAAGGCTGCATTTATTTGATCAAAAATACAGTAAAAAAAATAACTACAATTTAAAAATAACTTTTTAAAATATATATTTTAAAATGTAATTATTTCCTGTAATGTCAAAGCTTGAATTTTCAGCATCATTACTCCAGTCTTCAGGGTCACATGATCCTTATGAAATCATTCTAATGTGCTGACTTGCTGCTCAAGAAACACTCCTTATTATTTTCAATGTTTAAAAAACATTTTTACCCAGGATTCTTTGATGCATTTAAAGTTCAGAAGCATTTATTTAAAATAAAAATCATTTGTAACATTATAAATGTATTTACTGTCGCTTTTGGTCAATTTAATGCATCCTCGCTGAATAAAAATACAAATTTATAAAAAAAAAAAAAAAGAAAGCAAACCTTACTGACCTCGAACTTTTGAATGAGTATGTATTTGTACTTGGTGCAAGTGTGAGAATTGGGATTCAGCCTATATGTGTTTGTGCGTTGTTGAGGGAATTATCAGGATGTGTATCTGTGTGGCGTGAATGAGGGTCCCCATTCCCTTCACTGGCCCCCTATCAATGTCCGGTAACCTCCGAAACCCAACCGACATGCATGATTCGGTTTCCTTTCATTGTCTTATCTCCCTCTCTCCTTCACTTTCTCTGATATTCCCCCTCCTCTCCTCTTACCTTTCTCCTCCATTACCTGAATATCAGCTTAAATGGGGAGGTCACGTCTTCATATTCTCTCTTCCCTCTCAGCTTTTCTCGTTCTCCCTCCGTTACCTGTCTCTGTCTCTCATTTTCTCTATTGCAGTAATGATAGCGTAGAGAATGAATCATGTTGTTCTGGAGTGCAGTGGAACAGTCTGTACACCAAGGCTGCATTTTTTTGATCAAAAATACAGTAAAAAAAATAACTACAATTTAAAAATAACTTTTTAAAATATATATTTTAAAATGTAATTATTTCCTGTAATGTCAAAGCTTGAATTTTCAGCATCATTACTCCAGTCTTCAGGGTCACATGATCCTTATGAAATCATTCTAATGTGCTGACTTGCTGCTCAAGAAACACTCCTTATTATTTTCAATGTTTAAAAAACATTTTTACCCAGGATTCTTTGATGCATTTAAAGTTCAGAAGCATTTATTTAAAATAAAAATCATTTGTAACATTATAAATGTATTTACTGTCGCTTTTGGTCAATTTAATGCATCCTCGCTGAATAAAAA